CTCATTATTTTCATGTTTTACTTTACATCTTTGAGCATAGTTATAACACATGTTAAGGTCTTTGTATTAACCTCATCAACTGTCACTTCTGTATCTGTTTCTATACACTGATTTTTCTCATGGTAAATGTCTCAGTTTTTCTGCATTGCACGTATCTATTAATTTGGGGTTGGATGCTGGATATTTCTGAGGGATGAATTTTGGTGTCTTCCTCTTAAGACTGTTGTAGTTTTTTTTTCTGGAAAGCAGTTAAATTTGGAGATTAGCTTGGTGTTCTTCAAAGCTTATTGCTAAGCATTGTTAGGACAGTTATAGGATAGCATTTTTTCTACATCTAGCTTAGCTCTCCTCTGAAGGCATTATCCTTCTAGAGTGTGTACTGAATGTCCTGGTTATTTAACAAGGTTTCTTGACTTTTGATGGCCACAGTTCAAACATTCTCAGACCTGTGTTAGCTTTGAGGATTATTCTTCTTGCAATTCCTTGCCACGTTTTTCACTGCACACATTTGGCTTATTACTTAGCAACAAACTCTAGGAAACTTCTATGCAGATTTATAAAACTTTTTTCACTGCTCTCTCCTTTCTGGTACTCAGCCCCACAAATCCTGGCTGCCTGTACCTCCCTCATCTCCAAGCTTTGTCCTCTCAATTAAGCAGGACTTTTATGATCTATAGGGGTCTTCATCTTTGCACCACCATCTGAAAAGTTCCACCAGGCAGGAAACTGTCCATTGCAGGGCTTATTTCATTTATTTATCTTCTTTATGGATCACTTTCAACTGTTCAGTGTCTGAAAATAATATTTGCATTTTTTTTTCAGTTTCTAGTTGTTTATGGTGGGAAGGCAAGTGTGGTCCTAGTTAATTATGGCTGCTAGCAATTTTTGAGCAATTTATTTATGTATTTAGAGCTTTTCTAGATTTCAATTTATTTCATTATCCCACTTTATAATCTAAAGGCCTGGATGATTTTTCCTTGTTCCTGAAATATCTCTATACATGTCAATTCCAGCTCTCACAGATAGGGCATCCACCTGTCATGTGCATCCACCGTCGTGCACAGAAGTTGCTCATAGGCAATGTGCTCTTCTGTGACAGCTTGCTCCTCTTCGAGAATTTGGTTTATCAGGGTTTCTTTGCATTTATCACTTTTCACTATCCCCATAGAACAGTACGATTTTTATTTTGACTTATATTTCTTCTTATTACCAGGCAACGAAAATCTTTCACATCCATCTCTATCTGACCAAGAATGAGAGCCGTGTACTTTTCACAGTATATTTTAGTAAAATGTTACTAATATAACTTCTTGTTGACACACTCAATAAATTAATTGGTCTCTTTAAAAACAGTGAGGCAAGCATTCAGATTTCTTGAAACATAAATCAACCTAAAGGCTTTTTTCAACACAATTCTTTATGTCACAGGATCTAAAGCCCCTCTTTTTGCTCACCTTTGCTGAACTGCAGCTTTTGGTAAAGAGAGATACTTTACAAGTTGAGCTCTTTTGGGAGTTCCACATAGGGATAAGGGCAATGGTTCCTCATCCTAACATGCCATTCCATTCTTGGACTTCAACGCAGAGAAAGCAAATGAGGATATATGTATTACAGGTAGCCTCTACCTCTCTCGAGACAAGATTTTTCAATCTCTTCTCTTCTGGTATAGAATTAATCTCTGTCCTTTCTAAATGCAGCCTCAAGTTATAACCTTACCATTTGGCATTCATGAAAACTGGCTTACTCTAGGAAACAAATCTGTAAAGCTTTTACAAATACTCACCTGACAGTGAGACTACGTGTGAAAAGCCTTGTTTTCAAAGCAAACATATATGAAAGATCAGGATCATAGATTATAGAACTAAAGTTTTAATGAAATCACGAAAAATAAAGAATACAGACTTCTTATATACTAATTCTTTTTCTTTTTTTATTCTGAAACATTGATCTTTTGCCACAGGCAGTCCTTAGTGTTCCTCCATATGGTACTACTTGATGCAAAAAAGATAATTAAAATTTTTGTCCTGTTTTTATTCTCCAGGGTAAAAATTATGGAGGTAGCACCACTAATTTTTAGAAATTTGCTTCCTTGAATAAATTCCATAAATATGGAGGGTGGGCAGAAGTGAAAGGGAAAAACTGATTTGGGGAAGTCAACTTCTTAGGAAATCCTTATTTCTTCTGAAGGCAAGTTAAAGATTGACAAAATATATAGAGATAAACAAATACAGTTATGAAAGAATACTGATAACAGAGGTAAAGACGTACAGGAAATATATGCACAGTATTTTTGCTAATTATTAACTAATCCATTAAGCAAATTGTTTTGAAAGCCAGTACTACACTGTCTGATACTGTAGCTGCTAAGTGCATATGAGTAAATTTAAATTAATCAAAACAGAATACAATTGAAATTCAGCTCCTCGGTCTCACTAACCACATTTGAAGGGCTCAGTAGGCACATATGTCAGGTGGCTGTCCTACTAAACTGTGTAAATATAGGACATTTCATCATTGCAGAAAATGCTATTGGACAGTACTAGCCCAAAACATACTACATTCTGTCCTAGGCCCTTGGTTATAGAAATATACAGAATTTTTCTGCCTTCATGGGACTAAATATGTTGCTATATTCAGACAATAAACATGTAAACTAATATGAGCTCACGTTAAGAATAAAATAAAAAAGGATCATAGGAATCAAAGAGAAATGTCTAGGTCAGCAGGTAGTGGTGGTTATTTTATCCAGAATGTTTAGGGAAGACTTCTTTGAGGACATGGCGTAGAAGTCTGCCATGCCAAGACCCAAGATAAGAGCATTTGAATCAGAACAGAAAATACAAATATCCTGAGTTTTGTAAAGTTATCCTGAGACAGAAAAAAAAAACAACATTTGATGAGGGCAGTCTTTACCAATGACTTATGAAAAGCAAAGAGATCTGAGAAAAGGATTGATTTAAAGAGTTGTCTTCTCAGTGTGACCTCAAGGAGTCCCTGGAGTGGTGGTAATGGGGGTGTTAGAGGCAGGCTATTAAAGGGGACACACATGTCTTAAGGGTTAATTGCTTTTCACCCAAGTTTGGATCCCTTTGGACACACACGTCCATCCATAGTGCTATACCTTATGAAAACCAATGCTATGCCCATGGTCAGTTTCTTTCCCAAACTACATTTTTAAGGGCCTAAGCACATAAGAAGATGTGGGAGAGCCCCTTTTTCTCTGTCCCAGTTCTTTCCTGACGGTTACGAGTCAGATGCACCTTAGAGTCCTCTAGAGGGCAGCATTGCTTAATTCCAAATGCCATACACACAGTCTTGGGTCTTTGAAAAACACTGATGCAATACCTGTTAAGATGAAATTCTTCCAGAAGTTTCCTTGGAAATGGAAATAATTCAACACAATTTTTGAAAGATGTGCTTGGGAAATTTTCTGTGAAAAGATATTCTTCTTCAAATGTTCACAAGGATAAATTAAACCCTTGAGGCTAGAGTTTTCTCTCTTGCCAGTTTGGTTACATCATCTCTCAGGTTCTCATCACAAAATCAAGCTCTCCCCCAAAGACTCCTATAAGTCTTCATTCACCTCCTCCTCTGTCCAGGAAACATTTATTCATCCTTCATGTTTCATTAGTCTTTGAGGAAACCTTCATGACCTCTTCCTCCCTGACCACCCCTCCCCCAACTAAAGATAAGGGACATGGAAGTGAAAGAAGTGTTCCTGGAAAAGAAACAAAGGGAAATAAGTATTTTATCACAATTTTGATGACAGTTTTATATATTTAAGGAAATAAATGGAAAATGTCTGATACTAATGCTTGAGACTAAGGTTAAAAATAAATGATTTCTTTGTGTGTTCATCTGGGGCTGAAAGAGCAAACCAATCCATTAATTAATAAGTCTTTTATATGGTTTCTATGTGCTTTGAATGGTGCTCTTGAATAGGAGATATTCTGGAGTGAAAAAGGAAATATATTTTCACTCCTGCTAATTTTATTTTAAAATATTATATCTGTTAAAACAACAACACAGGCCCAAAATGGCATCGCTTATGCTAAAGCCCATGATACCAAACCTAGATTTAATACCTAACTGCAGTTTCAACCTTCACCAGGAATGTAATTTTTCTTAATTGAGATACAGTTGATGTACAATATTATATAAATTACAGGTGTACAACATAGGGATTCACAATTTTTAAAGGTTATACTTCATTTATAGTTATTATAAAATATTGGCTATATTCCCCGTGTCGTATAATATATCCTTGTAGCTTATTTTATACCTAGTAGTTTGTATGCCTTAATCCCCTGTCCCTATATTGCCCCCACCACTTCCCTTTCCCCACTGGTAACCACTAGTTTGTTTTCTATATCTGTGAGTCTGTTTCCTTTTTGTTATATTCACTAGTTTTCTTTTTAAAATTCCACATATAAGTGATATCATACAGTATTTTTTTTCTGTCTCATTTCACTTAGCATAATACTCTCCAAATCCATCCATGTTGTTGCAGGTGGCAAAACTTCATTTTTTATGGCTGAGTAGTATTCCATTGTATAGATATACCACATCTTCTTTATTCACCCATCTGTTAATGGTCACTTAGTCTGCTTCCATATCTTGGTAATTGTAAATAATGCTGCTATGAACATTGGAGTGTATGTATCTTTTCAAATTAGTGTTTTCATTTTTTTGTTTGTTTTGGATATATACCCAGGAGTGGAATTGCTGGGTCATATGGTAGTTCCATTTTTAGTTTTTTGAGAATCCTCCATACTGTTTTTCACAGTGGCTGCACCAATCTACATTCCCACCAACAGTTTGTGTCATCTTCAATTTCTTTCATCAGTGTCTTATAGTTTTCTGAGTACAGATCTTTCACCTCCTTAGGTAGATTTAATCCTAGGCATTTCATTCATTTTGATGCACTGGTAATCTTACTGAGTCCCAAGCTCGTACTGCTCGCCACATGACAGGCCAATCAAATCAAGAGACAAGTTGTTGGGCAAGGAATAGCAACTTTATTCAGAAAGCCAGCAGAGAAGATGGTAGACTAGTGTTCCAAAAAACCATCTTGCCTGGGTTTGTATGCTAGTTTCTTTCATAGAGCAAAGAGGGGGAAGTGAGGAGATAAAGTAAAAAAAAAAGGCAATAAGATGTTGCAAATATTTCCTAGTTCCAGCCAGACTCTGGAGGGGGTGGATGTTAATTTCTTCTTTCCTGCAGCCATGCATAGGTGGGCCTGGTCAGGATGTTTCCTGTGAGCTAAACAAAGGTATTTTAGTTTAAGCTCAGGCATAGGAGGCAGGGTTCCCGGAAATAGGCCATTATGTATACTTTAAGCTATAGGCAGCATCCCTTTAGTGACTAACTTGTAGCAAAAGCACTAAAAGACAAAGGTTAAAGTAAAAGAAACATCCAATATGGAGTCAGATGTGTTCTTCCCTCTTACAGTAAATGGAATTGTTTCTTTAATTTCTCTTTCTGATAGTTCATTGTTAGTATACAGAAATGCAACAGATTTCTATATATTAATTTTGTATCCTGCAACTTTACTGAATTTATTGATAAGCTCTAGTAGTTTTCTGGTGGCATCTTTTAAGATTTTCTGTGTATAGTATCATGTCATCTGCAAACAGTGACAGTTTTCATTCTTCCTTTGCAACTTGGATTCCTTTCTACTAGATGTAATCTTTTTTTTAAAAATAAATATATTAAATTGCAATGAAGAGTAACCCCTGCTTGCAACAACTAGAGAATGCCCACACACAGCAACGAACACAACACAGCAAAAAAAAAAATTTTTTTTAATAAATAAATTAAATAAATAAATTTTAAAAAAGGAGACCCAGGTTTCATACACTCACTCACATATCCATTGTCTTAACACATATTAAATAAATCTTACATGAATCTCTGCTCTCAGTGCTATGTACTGCTCTCAGTGCTCCTATGGTTAATATGTGGATTTTAACAATCAAGTATGTAATTAGGAAAATAACAGTGTGACAGAGAACTTTAAAGAAGATAATGATTCCTTTTCACTTTACTTTTACCTACAAGAGGTATTGAAGAGCTTCGGGTGGTAGAGAAATCACCTCCACCTCAGGACATTTTGAGAAGTTTCAAAAGAAAAGTTGAATTTGAGGTACACCTTATAAGAGAGGTAAGATTTCTTTAGGTACCAAGGGAATAAGAGTGTGTTGGTTGGAGTGAATAGAAGAAACTAAAGTGTGAATGACACATAATGATAGCAGTCATTTATTTAGTGCTTACTATTTGTCAGGTAATTTATCTCCTATAATTCTCACAATGACCTTAAATCCTCATTCAGTAAATGGGGAAACTCAAGATCAAAGATACTGAGTAATTTGCTATAGACCACACAGCTCTGAGGTAACAGAGGCTGAATTCATTCCTCAGAGCTCTCTGACTCTTGATTAAAAGAGTCACCTACCTAGATCTCTTGTTCCTGGATCACAATTCATACTAAAGAGAACTCAACTTTAAGACTCAAAAAACTATTCTAGGGAAGTCTGTAAGTGAAAAACCACATGTGCCAGTAGCTAAGCAATGTCTTGTTTCAATGCAGAAATGATATTTACAGTGAAACTGACCTTTCTTGTATGTAAGAGATTCAATACAGGATTCCATTTACTATGGCAGGATATGAAATTAACTCATGAGATTTGAACTTCCTGGTACTTTCAAACCAAGACTTAAAAAAACCCTGAAATTTACAACAAGCATGTTACAACTGGTGACTAAATGGGAGCACTGGGAGAAGTACAGTTGTAACAAAAGAGTTTAGATAACTTTTTATTACATTGGACTGTCTCCGTGCCTTAGTTCAAGGTTCTGATATTAGATTTCACTGGGGAAAAAATGAATTGAGATAACGTCAGATAAAGCAGCATATTGTGAAAATTATGCATGGGATATCCCTATGAAATGAAATATTCCCCATCACTTAAACTAGAGTTGTATTAGAAGTATAAAGGCTTCCCATAAAATACATACAATATGGTCTAGCTCATATAACTTTGATTATATTTTCATCAGTCAAAACTGATGAAATTTAATTCAAAATTTATTCAAAACTTAATTCAAACTTAATTTGGAAGGTGAAATGTAAGTGTGTGTGCAAAACTCTGGATTTAACACTGTAGTGATTATGGTAGCCTAAAAATATAGAGACCTGCAATTTAGAAAATGTTACTGTGGTTGAGGATTAAAGAAGCGAAGGAAATCCGTTGCTTTACTCTGACTCACATTTTCTACACAGGAAGCTTAAATTCATCTCATGCACACACGCGCACACACACACACTTTCAAGTAACTTTTGTATCCTACTAGGTAGATGCATGCTGGAATTAATTACTTTTGTCAGCCAAAGACAGCACCAATGAACATTCTCAAATGTTACCTTATCACACAAAAAAGACCTACAATTTTTATTATGATCTTTTTGTCTCTTTTGTAGACACTTATGATGAAATTTCATCTTTAGTGATGGCATTCACTGCAGTATTAGGAAAGGATAGTTTCTCTTTTGGAGATAAATGGTGAGTTGACATTTTTGAGTCTCACTGGATTAACACAGAACCAGCTAGGGAAGAAAAAAGTTAAAAATGAAAAGTAGAATATAAGAAGTTCAGATAAAGCTATCCTTGAGTTGACAGTTTGCTATGAAAATCCATTTCCTTAGTTCTTTTAATTTAAATAGAAATCTTTCAGTAAAGCTCACTATTTAATAAAATGGTTTTATGATATACAAAAAATGAAGATGTGATATCTAAGGGCTAATTTTTAAACTAATATGGGAAATTTTTTCTTGAATCCAATGTTATCATTAAATATAATTTAACAACTCCCTGATAATGAAAACTAAAACTAACATTGTACCAACTGTAGTTATAATGGCTTATAGAACAGGAAGATATTTCTCTTGGATATGCATATATTTTATATTGAATGAATCAAAAAGTATGTGTGTACCTGCAATCCTACACTGTAATGCACATATTCCTTTTAAAATAATGGCTTCCTGTATAATTCAGTTAATTGACATTTAAGCAGCACAAACTTTGTAAAACAAACCAGGTGCATAGCTTGTGTTTTCAGGGGATATTTAATCTCTTTTGTTTCACAACCAAATTCAGTGCTTTTCAACTTTTAGTGAGCATCAGACTCATGTGTGTGCCAGTCTAGGATTTGATTTTACTTTTCTTACAAGCTATTATATTAGTCTGTTACTTTTCCATGGATGCTGGTAGGAGACACGAGACTCCAAGTTCAGAGATAAAGGGCTTTGTTACTCACAATGTAGCAAACAGTATGTGAACATCAACAAGCGCTTCATTTCCTTGCCCCATATTCTCCAGAAGTGATGTAGAGTGCCCTGAAGGATGCCTGCACATGATCCATGTTGCTAGAATCCAGGTGACTGAAACAGAATTATGTTTCAATCTCCTAGCTTCCCTTTTGGCCAGGCTGCCACCCAGAGGGTGTACCAGTCAGGCCTACTTGAGGTTACTGGTAGGAGAAAGACACACATCATGCCCAGGAATAGTCAGGGAAGAATCCTGAATTTTCAAAATAGTTTTATATATTTCACCTCCCCTTTCCTGTGATCATTACCCAGGAGGAAGGCAAGAGGAGATCAACCCATTCTGAGATGGCCACATTCAGTGATCACACTGTTTTACCAGGAAGAGACAAGGTCGATAGAGTCAGAAATAATTTTTAGATGATTGTTTTTTAAAATGCATTCTACCTCTCAATGATGCCAGCAGCCTGAAGATGATAAGGGCCACGAATGTACATCAAATACCATGATAATCAGCCTATTTTTCAGTGGCCTTTAGGACAAAAGGCAAACCATTGTCAAACTGTAGATGGTTTGGAAAGTGGAACACGGCACAATTTAGATTTTAGAGTCATAGTTCGGTGGCCAGATTTTACTGATTGGACTGGAACAGCAACCCTACGACCAGAAAAAGTGGTGACAGTCATGAAGTACCACAGATATCCTTAAGATAGGGATCAAAGATTCCATGTAGTCAATTTGCCAGAAGGTAGAGGCAATGACTCCTGCAATGTGTCATTCCACTTGTGAGTCAGATGGGTCAACTTTTGGCAAGAGTCACAAGTTTGGCATAAAGTAATAACTTCTAGATCAGAAACAAACAATTCTTTATGAACAGTCTATGAAAGTGGAGGTATTGCCATGTCCAGTCTAATGATAAATTTAGTTAGTGATGGTGGCCATCTGATCAGCAGCTTGATTCCAGTTGGTCTCATTAGAGAATGGGCCCTTACCATAGACATCTACATGAGTAACTGACTGCCAGCTGAGATTTGTTTCCACAGTTCATGGCTCAAAAAAAAGGGTGCCTTTAATCCACCAGTCTGAGGTCTTCCAAGTGGTAGACCAGATACCTGGGATATTGGCAACAACCCAAGAATTAGTAAAAATGTGAAAAGATTCATCAAGGATAGTATTGGCCAGGGCTATTAAGACTACCTTGAGTTCTGAACACTGAGTAACCACATCCTTTGTTTACAAATATCTAGCACTAAGACTGAATACCAGTAGCGACTCAATGAACACGATTAAGTTTTTTTTTTAATTTAATTAATTTATTTATTTTTGGCTGCTTTGGGTCTTCATTGCTGCGTGTAGGCTTTCTCTGGTTGTGACGAGTGGGGGCAAGTCTTCATTGCAGTGTGCATGCTTCACAATGCGCGTGCTTCTCGTTGCGGTGGCTTCTCTTGTTGCGGAGCATGGGCTCTAGGCACGCAGGCTTCAGTAGTTGTGACACACAGGCTAAGTAGTTGTGGTGCACGGGCTTAGTTGCTCCACGGCATGTGGAATCTTCCCGGACCAGGGCTCGAACCCATGTCCCCTGCATTGGCAGGTGGATTCTTAACCACTGCACCACCAGGGAAGTCCTAAGTTTTAATTTAGCTGAGCTATCAGTAAATCAGGCCTAGAAATTTAGAAGAACATCTGTAAGTCAAAGACCCCATTGGGCCAGCACCGTTGCTTCATGAAGGCATTGGAGTTGAAGATAATATTTCCTCCAAAGGTGTAGCTGCCTGTTTCTGATGTAAGGACAAAATGCTTCTCCAGCCAATCCAGCTGTGCTCTTGAGTGTACCATTTCCATTCAACTAGTGAGGCTTGTTGGGTTCCTTCCTTGTCAGTAAGCCTGGACATCATTTTATGTGTTTATTGTCTATTTCTACTTATTTTCTATGGATTGTCTGTATTATTTCCCCACTTTTCTATTCAGTTGTTCACACCTGTATTGCTTTGTTGAAGTTTTTTTATATTGTTTTCCAATCTTTCATTGCTTGTCATTTATGGCATCTTTCACTATACAAAATTGATAATGTCTATAGAGTCAAGTCTATCATGTTATATCTAGATGCCTTCTGGGTTTGGTGCATCACCTCAAAGATACTCTTCTACTTCAATATTATTAAGACATTTCTGTATGTTTTCTTCCAAATATTGTTTGAATTTTTAGTCCATCTAGATTTCATTTTTATATATGATGATTAGTATTCAAACTTTATTTCCTTCTAAATAGTCGATATCCTAACAGCATGCATTTTATTATTCTTCCATTCCCCACTGATTTAAAATGCCTCCTAATTTTCATGCAAAAATTCCAAATATGCTGGAATATATATTCCAAATATATTTTGGACTCTTCATCTGAGTCTAAAATATTAACACAAGACTGTGGACAGGGCAGGGAAATAATTATGTGGTATTGTTTTGAAATGAATAGTAATTTTTAAAGCTATTGCCTTGTAGCTCATAATGTCATTGCATTTCTCAAATCATGCTTAAATGTGCATTTTTTTCATTTTCTTTATAATGTTACAAGGAGTATTATTAATAGAGCTTACATTAAATTTAGGAAAAGACAGAATAAAATTTAGTTTTTATAAGCAACTATTCAATAGCAAAAACAGAGTCAATCTTAAAGCATCCTAATAACTAGGATCAGTAAGAAAAAACACTGCTTCATTCTATATTCACATTTACTCCAATGTTGGAAAATCAAAGATGTGAGTGAAGCTAAAGATGATTAAGGATATGTATTTTCTTATTGTTACTTTTCTTTATTTTTGTGTCAAGACCAAAAGCTACTGAAGTCCATATAATTGGCTTTTCAGTCTTAAGTGAAGGAAATATTCAACACTTATTATATTTAATTATGGATTACAGAGGTTTCATCATCACCAAGGAGGTAACTTCTCTAACTTACATGAAATCCCCCCAATAAATCCTATATTAATTGACTATTGATATTAGATTATATTTCAAACTTAATTCCTGCTACTTGGTTCTTGAGTTTAGCCTTCAATCATGTGTATAGAATGTAGTCATTCATAGTTTAACATTGGCTATCCTAAACCATTCTAACAAGATGGAGGCTTGCTTGCCTTTCTTTTAGGATAGAGAGTGCATGCTCGGCACTCTTTGCCTAATTATGTCATTTAATTTTCACTATATTCCAGTCAATTAGATTTTGTTATTGTTCACTTTACTGATGGGGAAAACCACAGTCAAAGAGATTAAGTGATCTGCCCAATGCCAAGAGCTAACAAAGAGCAAATTTGAAATTTAAAACCTTATCTGTCGTCTTCTGAAGTCCATGATATCACTGCTGTATCATCGTTCAAATTAAGCTTCAAGGGACTAGCTTACAGGTGTACACCAATAGCTCTGAGCAATAACCCTGTGGATTGAATGAATGGGAGTGGAAAGCTTACAAAGCCAAGACACAGACATTTTCATTACTTCTGGGCACAGATCTATTAAGAAGAGTCAGAAATTTGTCATGATTTTGTTTTTAAATTCAAAGCATGTGTTCAAAATACATGTTCAAGAGTTACTTAGATCATTTCTCCCAGGCCCCCTTTTCAAGACCACTTATGTTGTTTACTGGACTATAGCTTGGCTCCTTTGTTTTCATTTATGAACATGTAAAAATCTCACGGGGACATGTTACTTCCTTCCCTTTTTCTACCCTGTTTCCTTCCACTCAGTTGCCATAGGTAAGCAATTTCTTTATACTTTCACTTCTCTTTTTAAAAAAGAAGCTAAAGCAGATACATGTATATTTTCTTATTTCAAACATTATCTCTTTAAAATACAAGCTGAGTTACTTACCTGCTTAAAACCCTCCAGTGGCTTCACCTTACTCTTGTGATAAATCCAAACTCCTTCTGTGATCTTCTAGAACCTAAATTATCTGCTATTTACTAACTCTCTGACTTCCTTTTCTAGCATTCTACCCTTGGTCATTCCACTATATCTACTTGAATACACACATACTCATCCTTGCTCATGGTCTTTGAACTTGCTAAACTCTGCCTGCAATGCTCTTTACATTGTTCACCCTCTTACATTTTTGCATTATCTGCTCAAATCTCACCTCAAAGAGGACCTCTCTGGCAACCCCATTATCATGCTCTATACCCTACCTTGCTTTGGTTGTTTTTCATAGCATTTGACACTACCCAACCTTTCATTATACATTTATTTGCTAGGTGATTGTTATCAGTACCACTCACTATAATTTAACCCGTGAGGCAAGAACATTGTATTGCTCATCATTCTATCACCTGTGCTTGCAACAGTGCCTTCAAATAGTGGGTGATCAAAAAATATTTGTTAACTGTGTTGATAAACTAATGAATCAATAGTTCCTCCATGTCTCATTTTTTCCTTATTAATCTCATGCTGCCACCCTTTTGTCTATGAGTTATGTTAAAAAAATAAAACTCTATGTTTTCTATTTCATTGTTCCACTTGTCTTCAGTATTCCCATTGAGTCTTGCTGCTTCTATTGCTTTTTAGAATTTTGCAATCATGTTTTCCCTTTCCATGCAATTATCCTTCCTGATGTCATAATTTCCCTCTTTGAGCCTGTCTTCCTCTAGCAATGTCTTCTGCCTTGCTGAAAATAAAAGATTTTCTAACATCCTACCTTCTATCTTGCAGAAACATCATTTCAAAGGATAGTTATGTCTCATTCCTCAGATTGATTCTCTTGAACTGCTGAAGCATTTCTCATCCTAGTGATTTTTTTCTCCTTGTACATCTTTACAGAGGCAGATCTGTGCTCATGCGGTCTTGTGAATTGGGATGGGTTCTCCAAAAAGACTTTGTGTATTTCTGGTAGAATCTCCCAGGTCAGGGGGCAGTTAAAGAGAGAAGGAAAATGTTTGATTTGTTGTGATTTAACTTTGCCAATTTGGACATCAAGGTGTCATATGGAAAGAATATGGAAGGAGGAAGTGTTCCTTCTAGAGGCTTTTTTACTATAGAGCAGCATCTCTTTGCTGAAGGAGGTCCTGATAAGTGTGTTGCGGGCAACTAGCTGGGCCACTTTCTCTCTAGGTTAAATGGTCACTCTTTCAGCAAGACTACTGCCCCATGAGTATGCCATGCATGGAGTAAACATACTTTTTAAAAAAATCTTTGCTCTTTTATCTATAGCTTTCTCAAGGATATTGGTAAAGTGAAATTGTTCCCCAAATATACAATAACCTACTGTGTGGACCACTTTCACCACATATTCCTGCACTTCTAGCTAAGGATGTACTAGTAGTGTCCATTTCAGATACTGAAGGAGTTCCTTGCATGTACTTTTCAGTTTCCTGGTTTACAGACTAAAATAGACTTCCTGATATTTTTATATACCTTTCCCAAGTTCAGGGAGAATCTGGAGGAGAGGTGCCAATTAAAGATTATGTTCAAGTCACCAAAGTTAGTTGCCTAATTGCTTTTATTTTAACGTTATATAAAAATAAAGAGAATGGTATAAGCAGACCTAGATACCCACCTTCCAGCTGGTTTACGTATCAAATATAATTTACCTGGTGATGGTATTTGTGTTCACATATTACAAGACTGAGAATTTTAGATCTCTTACCAACCAGGGTTCTTGGCCTCCTTAATCAATAGAAATTGATAAGAGGCCAGACAAGAAATTCAGGCGGGGCTTCCCTGGTGGTGCAGTGGTTGAGAGCCCGCCTGCCGATGCAGGGGACACGGGTTCGTGCCCCGGTCCGGGAGGATCCCACATGCCGCGGAGCGGCTGGGCCCGTGAGCCATGGCCACTGAGCCTGCGCGTCTGGAGCCTGTGCTCCGCAACGGGAGAGGCCACAGCAGTGAGAGGCCCGCGTACCGCAAAAAAAAAAGAAATTCAGGCAAGGCTTTATTGGGCCTCCTGCTGCAGGAGGGGGGAGCAAGAACAAGAAACAGGTTCCCTTGCTTGCTGGCTGTCCAAGGTGGGCAGCAGGCTGCTTCCTTATACGGACTGAGGGTAGCGGCAGGTCCAGGGGTCAGGCCGGAGGGGTGGCTTAGATGGCTTGCCTACCCCTTTGGTGGTGGTTTGTGGGCAGGGGGCATATGTGATACCCTGCTTTTGCTCCCAACACCCTTGTTTTGCTCCTGGCTCTTCAGAAGTGGCAGTTGGGTTTTTGATCTCTTTGTGTCTTTTTGTCCAAAATTTGCCCAACTGCGCATGTACGCAGTTATTTTTAGTCCCTTATAGTTTCTTTGTATTTTATTGCTTGAGGAGACATTTGTCCAGGTGCAAGCACTGGGTCACAAGTTCCAGTCCCAACCTGTCTCAGATCCATTTTCCTATACCTTGTTTGTGATAAGAATAATATGTTACCTGGATCTTGTTTCGATCCTGAACATAACAGTATCTCAGAGCCAAGAGTTGCCTTTACCAAATGAATGCTCCTAGTAATAAAAAGGAAGCAATTATTAGTGAGAAGAGTGTATAAAGAATGAATAGTAATTTTCAAAATGTTAGAGGAAATGAATTAAGTTGGTACATTCCATCTGTTTTTCCTCTTGTTCTATACTCTTACTGTGCCCTAGAAGGCTGAGGAAAGGGAATGAGATAAATTCACAGGGGGAAGTGTTTCTCAAGACCTGCTTTGTTACTTTAAATTAACCCATCCACCCATGACCCAGTGGCTAGGAGTCCTAACACAGTATGTAGATATTGCAAATCCTTTCTCAGCCATTCCACTGGGCTCCCATTACTTTACTACTATTTCATTTTCCAGTCCTGACTGATTTCTGTCCTTCTCCTCTCCTTTTAGGTTCTGGTCACACACTCTTGGCTCTCACAGTAAAACTGATTTCTCAGGTTTTGATCCCTCAGGTTGTCTGAGCATTTGGGATGTCCTCATCTTCTGGCTCCTGGTGCTAGATTTAGCTGCTTCTGTTAAATTTTTATTTCTGATTCAGAGAGCAGGGTATGGGTACATAAGGGCATAGACAAAGCCAGAATGTCTGGATTTGAAAGCTGTCTTCACATTTAGTCAGCTGAGCATCCTGGGCCAATAACTTTACCTCTCGAGTTTCCTTAACTGCAAAATGGTGACTATATAATAGTATGAACCTTATAGGCTTGTTTCAGGATAGAAATAAGATAATATTGGTGAAGTGCCTAGTACAGTGGTAGATGCATGCCAATTGTTATAACTATCTTGTAAGTAAATGAAAAATAAAATAGTCCGTTAACCCAGCCCGGCTCCTACCGGGTGAGAAGCAAACTAGATATTTCTTTGTTTCATGTTTTCAACAGAAAGCCCTAGTTATTAAGGCTAAATCATTTTCTGCTTTGGACTTATCATTTTCCAAACCAGCTGCTTTTCTCTCTGACTCTCTATGTCATGCTTCCAGAAAGCCCCAAACTTGGCACTGAACAGCAATGAAATGAATGTTTGCAGAGTTTAACATAAAATGACTTACAAACTACAAGGACTTTGCATTTAAAGGAATATAAAATTTACAGACAACATACAAACTGGACACTTCATAGGGTGTTTTCCTCAAGTGCACCTGAAAGCCAGGGCAACAGGACTGTAAATCCCCCTGTAAATAAATAAGATACCTGATTTCAAGTTGAAAGATTAACTCTACTCTTGAATAAAGCAGACACGTCTGCTTTATTCAAGAAAGTTACTTTCAGTGTTCATTTGATTCCCATGCCTCTTAAGTTTCAGCAAATAGGAACATCCAAAACACTTTTCACTTTCACACCTCATTCTCAATTAGCCTAATTCTGGACTGGATTTCAGTTTCTCTCAATTTGGAATATCTGATTGTTCCTGAATTGCTGGAACCTTACAAGATCCAGATGAGCTCGTCTGTATTGCCAAGTTTCTGTTAAGGTCAAGTTGACATTTTGGGTTTTTTCCAAGTTCAGACATTACCCCAAAATTGAAAATAGCTCTCCCTATTTCAAATTAGCTTAATTAACATTTATTAACACCTAATTCTCATTGATTCCTTTTTAAAGTTCTATCAAATATTTTAATTCTAGAAAGTTTTGCTCTCACTTGTCTTTTTTTTTTTAACATCTTTATTGGTGTATAATTGCTTTACAATGGTGTGTTAGTTTCTGCTGTATAACAAAGTGAATCAGCTATACATACACATATATCCCCGTATCTCCTCCCTCTTGCGTCTCCCTCCCACCCTCCCTATCTCACTTGTCTTTGATGAGTTTCTTTTTCCACTTGAGATTATTTAAACTTTTTTAAGATTACCTCTTGAAATACATTGATTTGAGGAATGAACATCTGTCTTTTATCATTAGTTTGTAAGGGATTATGCAAATGCTGGTTCTGTTTTCACAAAAAGGAAGAGAAAACATGTGAATCAAAAGATTCAGCAAGAGTTCTGTATAATGTAACTCTAGTCAGATGTGATGTCTTCTGAGTCAGTTACAGGAAAGAGAGGGTAGAAAGAAGGAGGAACCCAATTCTGACCTTTTGGAAAGACCTTGTATCAGGATGAACTCTAAAATGTAGAGAAATACTAAAGTAAACGTTACAATAAATTCTCCCACAATATAACAAAGAGAATCATTGATGCAATAAATGTTGGAACTTATCTGTTTACTTGATGTCCAAAAGAATCAACAATATTCTGTTTAGTGTGTGGTAAGCAAATTTGTTAAGTAACAATTCTTTCAAGTTTTAACATGAATTTTTTTGTATAAGAATTTATTTGAATCAAGCAGCTACTATGTTCTCTTGCCTTATTAATCTCTCTCCCTCCAGTTCCCAATCCATTTGCCAACATTTATGACTACTGGCATCTAGTGGGTAGAGAACGGGGATTGTGCTAAATACCCTACAATGCATGGGACGCCCTCCACAACAAAGAATTACCTAAACCCAAATGTCAACAGTGACAAAATGAAGAAGCCCTGAATTAGGTGTTTACAAATATAGTTAATCAAGAAAACAAGGTAACCATAACCAAGAACTCACGACATTTCGAGAAACTCTCCTCACCCTTTGGCAACAAAACAAGACTGACAGAAATTGCAAAATGCCATTCCAGAAATAGGACATATGTAGCCACAGTTATGTTTCCTTTCCACTCTTCTCCTTGCTTTTCCTGCTATAGGATTTTGGAGGATGGAGGTGAGGTGGTGGTTATAATGTGTTTAAAGTGTTTTGTAATCTTTAGAGAGCTATACAGATATAAGGAGCTATTGTGAAGATAAAAGCCCAGAGCACCTTTCAACAGGCTTCTTTGTTGTCTGATGCTGTTGCAGTTTGTACAGCCACTACTCCTGGCTATTTTATTTAACCTATAGGTCATTCCCTTTGAGCATAATCTGTATCCTAACTCCTTTTGCCTAGTACTGCCTCGTGGAATTTTCAGCACAAAGCATACTGAGGCAGTTTTAGCATTAAGCTCTGTTTTTCTGAAATGTTAGAGGTTGAATTTCAAATTCTATACAGATGAGTAAAACCCAGTTATTCTCCAGTAACAATATTTCCTACAGATCTATCTCCTGGCAGCTGGTAGGGCAGACAGCCATTGTTGCTTCAATCTGATCAAGTTTTTTGAAGGGTTTTTGTACCACCCAACTGTCTCCAGGCCTCTGAATCATGATTTCGCAGGAAGACTTCCCATTGCTTACTCTAGGGCTTTCAGAAACAACTTCCTTAGTAGCTCCAGATGGAACTTGAAGATCAAATAAAGCAGCAAATATTAGAGGGAATATGAACCTCTGCTTCACTGGTGGTATATGTGTGTGGGCGGGGCGGGTGAGAGAATATATTATCATCGCAGCCAGAGCAAACATCCTTACTGATTAGAAACTGGACTAATTTTAAGGCAGAAGGAATACCCCTGCAACCTGTATAAGCAGGTAATTTATGTAATGTTGACCCTAAACCCCTTAGACACAGATTTCTCTACTGTCCACATCTGTTACTTCATATCAAAAATGACCCTTATCCTAGGTGAGGAGCTATGACTCAAACCTTACCTCTGTGTTGCTAATTCTGAGAAAGAAATTTTTCATATCTGGGCCAGATTCGGGCTATTCGAATAATTATACTTCCTGGTTCTAGATTTTGGTGAGGCATTGTGGATTAGAGATCAAGAACATCTAGGAGCAGTTAAGACTGATTTATCTTTAAATGCTTTATACTTTATATATAAAGTATATAAAATGCTTTATATATATTCTCTTTCCCCAGAGAATTCCCCAGCATTCTCTGGGGAAACAGGGCTATTTGTCTTTTCTAAAAATCTAAGGCAGTATCGCTGGTGTTCCTCTCACAGAGATGGCCCCCGACCTTTCACGGAGCCAGTTCATGTGCCTTTGAAATATGACAATCCGGCTGGTCTGTTCTCCCATCTCCTAAGTCTGAGAAAAGCACTTCTTGTTTTGGAAATTCTTGGCTTCCTTAGTGTCCACTTGAAGGGGAAATACATTGATGCTTTTTTTTTTCTTTTTTTTGCAATGGATGCAGTAAATGGCTATTTAATTTCAAATTAGATTTCTTTATACTTCATAGATTCCAAACAAATGATTATACAGCTCCTGTCATTTTAGTACATTAACATAAAGCACCTTATCTTGATAATACTGAGAGAAATGCATTAGAACAAATCACAGGATAAACATCAGATTCCAAAGTGCCATGACGCCATTTTTTGAGTTGTTAT